TATTTTGAAGCACCAAGTGAAACTTGGGCTTGCAGTAGGCAATTTGTATTCATTTCTGGTATCCATTAAATGGATGGGAATGATGCCTGTCTCCCTGTGGGGTACTTGGCACTGGTGGGGCCGCACCTCAAATCCTGGGTGCAGTTCTGGGCCCCTCATGACAAGAGAGATATTAAGAGGCTGGAGCGTGTGCAGGGAAGGGAAGGGAGCTGGGAAGGGGCTGGAGCAGCAGGAGCAGCTGAGGGAGCTGGGGGGGCTCAGCCTGAAGCAAAGGAGGCTCAGGGGGGACCTTCTGGCTCTGCAACCCCCTGACAGGAGGGGGGAGCCGGGGGGGGTCGGGCTCTGCTCCCAGGGAACAAGGGACAGGATGAGAGGGAACATCCTCAAACTGTGCCAGGGAAGGGTCAGGTTGGGTATTAGGGAAAATTCCCTCCCTTAAAGGGCTGCCCAGCCCTGGCACAGCTGCCCAGGGCAGGCTTGGAGTCCCCATCCCTGGAGGGATTTAAAAGCCATGTGGATGTGGCCCTTGGGGACATGGATTAGTGGTGGCCTTGGCAGTGCTGGGGAAGCAGTTGGACTCGATGGTCTGAGAGGGCTTTTCCAGCCTTGGTGACCCTGTATCCAGAGCAGTTCTGCTGCCATTCAGAGCACCTCCACTCCCGTCATACTTTTGTGGGTTTTTTAAGTTGTTGATCTGCTGCCTGGGGGGAATCTGTAGTGAGGTCTGTCCTGTGGTGTGTTGTTCAGCCAGAGCTGTTCAAGTGCTTTTGAAGAGGCTGGATGGCCTCTGGGTGACACGGTGGCCTGGCACAGTCTGTGTGACACAGTGCTGTGGCTCAGAACTCACCCTTTGGCTGCAGAGCAGCTGTGGCTCTGGCCTGGGCTCCGTGCAGGGTGTCCTGGCTCCCAGGGAGGTTCAGCTTGGTGGCCAGCGCGGAGCAGGAGCAGCGGGGAGTGACAGGGACACGTCCAGCCTGTGCTGAAAGGTGTGTCAGGTTCTGACACAGCACGACACCTCCTGAGCTGCTGCAGGGCAGTGTAGTGACAGGCGAGGGCAAGCTCTGACACATGGAGGACTTTCAACCCTGTCTTTAAATGGCCCAGATGTGCCTGTTGGGTGAACAGATGAGCTTCTCGCAGATGTGTTTGATCCTGTTACTTGTTGCAGCACGTTTGGAAGAACCAATTATTGTATTGCTGATGGTCACATTGTCTTTTCCTCACACTTTAGTTGCTGTGTGAGTTGGTTTGTACAGCCATGGTAATAATCAATACGTTCCTTTCCTTGCCACTGTTATATTACAGTGGTTATTTTAATTTTCTTGTTGAATTAACACCTCTCAAGCATTTTGCTACTATAATTGCCAAGGCCAGTGTGTCAGTTTAATTAAAACTTGAAATAGGATTGCTTCTTTGCTTTGTTGGATTTCTTTTACTTTTTCCTGCAGTGGATCTGGCATTCTTTATTGTGTTACACTCTGAATTAGCCTCAGATCCCAGAGAGCCCTTTTTGTTCTGCTGCTGATGGTAAATTTGCTGCTTTTTGTTTCCCCACAGCTCAGGCAGAAGCTGAGCTCCACGTGGCCCAGCTGCTGGCTCTGGGGTTCTCTTATCTCTGGTCCCAAGGGTTTGCCAGCTGGTTGGGCAGAGCTTTGATCCCTTTCTCTGGCCTTAACAAGTGGCCAGGGAAACTCATTATCATATTCATGCTACTCTGAACCAGATCTGAGGCTTCTTGTGAGGGTCTGGCCTGATGTGCTGCCACTCCCCATCTCTTCAATGTGCAATTCCATTCCTTACTGATATTTTAGTTATTATGGGCTTTTTTTCCAGTTTTTATACCTTTTTTTTCTAGATTGTAAATAATCACTGTCACTTGTGGCTTAGGCTGTATTTGTTTTTTTGTTTAATTGACAGATCATGTGAACTACAGAATGTCTCTCCAAAAGCCTGTGTTCTTTCAGTGATAGATATCCAGATGTTTGAGAGCTGTATAAAAAATACGCCCTGGACAACTGAAATAACTTACCAAAGGGAGATTTAGCTTCCAGATTTTTTCCCCTTAGAGCTGTTATGCCACTTCCCCCATTCCCCTTTGAGTAATTAAATTCACTTGAACTCCTCTCGAGTTTCCTTGCCTCTGGCTCGCACAGACACAGAGCTGTGTTAGTTCCTCTGTGGTGTGGAGCTGCTTCCTTCGCTGTGCTGCGGAAATCCAGGCTAAGCCGGGCTCAGGTCACTTCCTCCCTCACAGTGTAAAAGCTGCCTAGTCTGGGCTGTCTGGGACAAACACCAGTGATATGTTATCCATGCTTTCCTGAGGGCTTAGGATCCTGCTTTGCCGAGCGTGGAGAGGGATGTGGAGCAGGGCTTTGGCAACCTGAACCCAGGAGGAATCAGCTGTTGCCTTTCAGTTGTCTGGCTGCATTTTTCCCCTTTTACTCTTCTGCCCAGGCTGTTGAATCTCCTCAGGAGCTGAGAATTGCCATCGGTGATGTCAGCTGGGTTTGGTGTCCTGAGTCATATCTGGTGCCCTGGAATATTGCCTATGAGTCATGGAAATAATTTAAGCTTGCTGAGCTTGGCCAGAAGTGGGAGATGTGGCAAGTCCACAGCCCCTGGCTGTGTTATCGGGGCAGATTTTGAGTAGCTGCCAGTACTTGAGGCCTTAGTTAATCCAGTAAAGCTGGGGGTCTTTCAATAGAGGGACTTTAACAGTTGGACTCGGGGATTTGGAGGTCTTTTCCAACCTTAATGTTTCTGTGAATAGGCAGCAAGCACGATGAAAGAAGAGAATGCAGAGGGATGAACAGGCACTGGGTGTCAGTGTGGTGGCTGTTACCTTGTTCCCTGCACTGGCTCACACCCCCCTGCCTTTCTGCTGCCTGGGGCTGGTTTAAAATTGCTGAAGTTAAAGCCTTTTGTCATTCAGCTTTAGTAAATGTACTGGGCACTGTTATACTGCTATCATCCCTAAGATATTGCTGAAACTACAATTTGAAGGAAAAATGTTCTATCCTTAATTATCTCTATTCCTTCAGCTTTCTTTAATGATGAAACACAAGAGGCCTGGCCTGGTATTTAGATGTTGGTGTCAGTGTATATGTATACATGTGTGTGTATATATATATATAAAACAAACAAACAAGTTTTTAAGATCAATGTGAACATCATATTAAACCAAAACTCAGTTCTTTCACCCCTCAGTTCTGCAGGTGGCTCAGGTGGGAGGGAGCAGGGTGGTTCACGTAGAGCTGTCATCTCCTGTGGTGGTTTTCAATAGTTATTTTCCATAGCTCAGGCTGTCCTTATATAATTATGACCTGTATTCCTTATTCCTGCCTGTGCCACGCCTTGCAGCTGGTTGTGTCACACTCATTTACTGCTCAGTTGCTGGAGAAATCTGCATCACTCTGGTTTTACTGTGCTCAATGTCATTTGTCACTGGAGTGTGTCACCTGCAGTGTCAGAGTATTGAACATCATCGTGCTTCTTTGGATCCCCCTGGGAGATCATAAAGAACCTCACCTGTATTGGTGGAGTGTCTCTCTGTGTTGTTGGGCTGCTGAAGGAGTAGGATGGGGTAGAGCAGTTCAGCTGGAATGATGAAATTGGGTGAATTTGATCGTGTGAAAGTGGCTGCCAAGGGAGGAGGGATTTTTGAGGGAGTTCTTATCTGTGGTGAGAAGCTTCCAGCAAATGGGATGCTGATGGGGCCCCTAGTGAGGGAAGAGAAGGAAGAGCTGTGAAATGGCCAGGACTTAGAGGTGATAGAAGTGGAAGATGACTCTGGATTTGCCACGCAAATCTCTGTGTTAGCTGTTACCTCATGGGGGAAATTGGATCAGCTGAAAGTTGCCAAGCCTGGTGATGAGCACCAAGGCTGCCAGAGTTCAGGGAGCATTTGGACATTGCTCTCAGGCACACGGTGGGGTTCTTGGGGTTGTCCTGTGCAGGGCCAGGAGCTGGACTGCAATGATCCTTGTGGGTCCTTTCCAACTCAGGATATCCAGTGATTCTCTGAAGTGATTCTAGGTGTGTGGCCAGCTGATGGGGACGGTAATTGTTGCTGTTTGACCATTAGAAGGTAAATTCTACCCTCTTGTCCTCTCTGAGTGCTTTGGGATGGGAATCCAGTTCTATCACTGCATATTACCTGGTGCAGTGGGATGTTCACCATGACTGTGCCTGTCAAAGACATTGCAGAACAGCAAATGCTCTGGATGTTGGAGGAGACAGCCCGTGCACATCTTTGGATGCTGCAACATATCTGAGGAAAAACAGTGCTATGGAAAAATTTGCTGTTGGGAATGTGGTTCATCTCAGATCTCTGCAGGTCTTTCAGCATCATGTCCTCCCAAAGCCCTTGCCATTCTCGTGCTGGGCTTTAAACTCTGCATCCCCTCCCCTTACCTTGCTGCTCTCCTAGTGCTTATCTTTGTATTTAGTATTGGGTGTGGATGTGCTGGGTCAGAGTTTGCATTTATTAATTAAAGAAATTACTGTAGCAGTTTCCACTGTCATTGATTCCCATGTCTGTTCTGAACCTGCAGCTTTCCCTTTGTTCCTCTCTGCTTTGATTGAGTTTCGTGTATCATCAGCTTTCAGAAGATTCCTCTGTGAAGCTGTATCTGAGTTCTTGAGACATTTCTGTATCCCTTTTGTATGGTTGGAGGTTTTTTTTGTGGTGGAATAAACTACAGGTATCCTAAACCATGAAAATCTAACGTGTCGTTGGCAGAACGCAGCTTTGCTCCAACACAGCCTTTGTGCACAGGAGGTTTTCCCTCAGGTGTGCCCAGGACTTGCTGCTTACACAGCCTACGGTGGCTCATTTTGGGTATGCCCCATCCTGAGATACATGTGCACAGTCCTGTCCTGGAATGCTCATTTAATTAAAAGTTAATGAGCAGAGTTCATCATTCTCCCACGAGGCTGGCTTGGCAGTGACCTGCTCTTGCTGTCTGAGAGCTCACCCCTCTCTCCATCCTTCCCTGCAGGTGAACCAGCGTAACGTGCCGGGGATCGACAGTGCCTACCTGGCCATGGACACGGAGGAAGGCGTGGAAGTTGTTTGGAATGAAGTTCAGTTTTCTGAGCGGAAGAACTTTAAGCTTCAGGAAGTAAGTTGATGTGCTCCCCAACAGAATGTGGAAACGTAGCTTGCACCAAGGTGGGATTATGAGTACTGGTGACCTCTTGTGTGGATTATTGGCTGGGTTTGGGGTGCTGTGCTGCCCAAGTGTAGCCAATTTGGCTGAAGCCTGGTCTGTCCAGGAAATGTGCTGGAAAACTGTTGTGCTGTTTCCATGGGCTCTTGTGTGGGTTTAGATTTGGTGATCAAACCACGCTGAGGTGCAGTGCAGGAGGAAATGAGATGCCATCTGTCCTTGGTGTAGGAGCTTGACATGTACAGTGCTGTTTAAGGGGCCCAAGACCCGAGGAGAAAGAAGGATATGGGTTGATGTGGTCTCTGATGTGATGTGTCTTTGTCTTTCTGATGTTAAGGAAAAAGTTAAAGCGGTGTTTGACAACTTGATTCAGCTGGATCATCTGAACATTGTGAAGTTCCACAAATACTGGGCTGATGTGAAGGAGAACAAGGCCAGGGTAAGAGCAGCAAACAGGCTGGTGGGTTTTCACTGTGTGTTGTGCAGGTAATTAGTGAAGCAGAGGGTAATGTCTCACACTGCCCCACAGGTGATCTTCATCACTGAGTATATGTCTTCAGGGAGTTTGAAACAGTTCCTGAAGAAGACAAAGAAAAACCACAAAACTATGAATGAAAAGGTAACTCTTTTTTTCCTGTATGCCCATATTCCCTGGAAGCCATCAGCCCTTGGAAAGCTCTTTCAGCAGAGGATCCCTTTGAGAACCTGGTGATAACACTGTGCCTCCGTGTCCCTGTGGCCTGGTTCAGCTGCAGATTCTCTGGCGCAGCAGTTCTGTGCTGGTTCTTTGCTGCCAGCAGCTCTGCAGCTTCATACCTGTGGTGTGACAGGCGTGTCCCTCTCCACGGGCCCTCACAGGAAAGAGGGAAGGTGTCTGTGCAGGGGAGGACTCAGGAGGACAGATGTGTTTCTGGACCCATGGGAATATGTAAAAACAAAGCTGAGCATGAGAGAGCTGATCCTTTACACCTGCACTGGGTGAAAGCTCAGGTGCCACAGAATGGAGTGTGTATTCCTTCCTATGAGCAGGCTGTTAATCACAGAACTACAGATCAGCTCCTTGTGGATGATTTTTATCCTTTTCCTCCTGTGTCTGCAGGCCTGGAAGCGATGGTGTACCCAGATCCTCTCTGCTCTCAGGTACGTGGGGATCCTGGCAGTTGGGACTGATGTGGTGGGGAGTGCAGGAGTTGAGCATCAGGGAGCTCTCCAGAGTATCCAGCTTCATAACCTGGGTCTCACCACAGCCAGGAGGATGTTGCAGAGATGACAGAGAAATGAAATTCCACGTGAGAGGACTGAGGAAACCTTCCCTAGCATTGGCAGGCTGCAGCCCTGTGGCAGGCAGTGGATTCATGGATATTGAGGCATGGTGTTAGATGTGTTACATTTCCTGATGATGCAGGTCTTCTGCAGCCATCTCAGTGCAATGCAGCTGAGTAGAATGTGTTTTGGGTTTTAAAAATTCCTCTCCACCTGAGCCAGAGTTGGTGAGTAGCTAATGAGAGCCTTGGGAAAACAATAACCCAGATGGCAGAGCACAGCTCGGGCTCCACAGACAAAACTCTGGTACCATTTTGTGAAATTACAGCAGTTGGTGAATAGTTGGGGTTCTAACACACTTCTGGGAGCTGACTGTCCTCATTTGTGCTGGCTGCTAACTTAAACCCAGGCAGAGTGAGGTGCAAAAACAGGGTGTACCTGGGACCCCTGCACTGAAAAACTTTATTTGTGCCTGCTGGCAGATATGCCCAGTCCTGTGTGTATAGCACTAAGTGCCTCTTTGGTGCCCTGTGAGTAGGACCAGAATAGGGCTCTGATATTTTTGGTATAAAATTGTAATCCTTTTAGCACCCACCCAGCAGTACAGAGGTGGATGAAATAGTTTTTACCTCTGGTACCCTGAGTTTCCTGGGAACTGATCAGAGAAAGGTTTCTTTTTTCTCCCGTATTCTGGAGGTTGATTGTCAGAGACAATTCCTCAATATTCCTGATTCTCTCCTAGCTAGAGGCTGAAGTACAGTTACTGAATTGTACCACCCCCCACTATTGTAAATCCCTGGCATGTGCCCTTTGCTCTCCTGTTCTCTTCTGATATTACTTGGGGTGGGGATGGGGTTAAGGGAGGGATTCCAGGCCTTGGCA